CTTTGTTAGAGGTGTATAATGGTTGCAACTACCACAGTCATCAGAGTGTAGTTTGCACATGCTTGTAAGTTGAATGTGACTCTGAATTAAGCCCTCTTGTAACATGGGAGGAGGGGGGAGAGGGAGAAAAGGGGTGGTTTTTCTGGCTGAAAGTGTACTAAAATAGTTGATTACTCATTTGTTTAGGGAGTTTCCTTTTAGAAAAAGACAAATGCTACAAGAGAGTGCTATAGGGGCTCAATCTGAGTTGCATATGGGAGGGTTACTTTTCCTCTTGGTCATAGTTGTTCAGAGCTTCTTTTTTCTTTTTAGTTTAAACTCATATCCCAGGCATATGAAGTTCTGTCGGACCCAAAGAAAAGGGACCTCTATGACCAGGGTGGGGAGCAGGCTATTAAAGAAGGAGGCCTGAGTGGCGGCAGCTTCTCTTCACCCATGGACATCTTTGACATGTTCTTTGGTGGTGGAGGCCGAATGAATAGAGAGAGAAGAGGTACACAGTTCTAAACAAGTTCTAGAAACTCTAACCATGCACTTAAGCATAAAACACCTGTGCTATGGTACTGCTGTTTGCTAAGTGCACAGGGTGTGGTTATTACTCGTTGCAACAATAGATCAAGTAAAATACGACTTTTTTTAGTTACTCTGGTATTAAGATTCTAATAAAGTAGATAACATAACATAGCCATAGCAATCTTTCTGATTAGTTGTGTTAATTTTTTGTTGAAGTGGGTGTGGGTAATCTGTAGGGGAGGGGGAAAACACTTGTAGGTTACAGCAGTTGAATTAGACCTAGCTGAAGTTACCTTTTTTCCCAGATCTATGCCTCACTTGCTCATATGCTTTGAGCAGCTTGCTTCAAAGGACACCATCAACTTAAACTTCAGTAATGTTAAATCTTATTAAAATATTTGGAAGAAATTATGTGAAACTGAGTAGAGAGTGCTGCCAAAAGCACAGTATGATTTTCATCTTTTTTCATGCCTAATGTCTGTTGAAGGAGGAAGTAATAACTTGCTGTAAAATATTTGAAATTATGCTATGAAGTGGCATGGAAACTTACAGGTAGGCAAACCAGGAACTTCTATATTGGCTAGATCTGAAGTTGATAGTGTCCTTGTATCTTACTGTTTCAGTTAAGCTTATAAAATTAGGGTTAGGAGCAGGGATAGGGTGGCTTTAATGATGTTTTGCTTAATTACAGCTAAACTTTATGTTCTGATGTAAGTGGGTGCAGCTCAGTGGAAGCTGATGGAACTGCACATGCTTTTAAGGGGGCTGAGCTGTGTTCAAAGTTTGGAATGAACTTTACATTTCTTCAGTGAGACTGTGCATGTATGAACAATTTTAGAAGCCTTTAAATAAACATTTGTCCTTACAACAGCTGAACCAGATTTAATTTTTCTCTTGTTTTCTTTTTTTAAAGGCAAAAACGTTGTGCACCAGCTAGGTGTATCTCTTGAAGACTTGTATAATGGTGTTACAAGGAAGCTGGCATTGCAGAAGAATGTTATTTGTGGAAAGTGTGAAGGTAAAAATACAAGTAATGGTTTTAAACCCCCCTTCAAGCTTTTTTTTTTTTAATATGAGGGGCTGGGAAGAAAGTTTGTGGAGGGGCAGTTATTTTTATTTTTCTATTTCCTTTTTTCCTCTCCTGAAAATCTGCCAGGGTGTTTAGTTCCTAATTATGCTTATCCAAGAATGGGGCTCTCTTAAACATAGTGGTATAAAGTTATTGTTCTAATGGCAGATTTAAAGTCACTGTGAATTACAGTTAAGGGTACCTAAATTAAAAGTATCTTAATCTGGAACTTCAGTAAATGGCTGTTTCATAAAACTTTTTTTAAATTGCTGTGGGTAGAAGTCTAGCTTGTATTATGCAACTCATTTTACAGCTATTAAGTATCCATAATGACTGGTCATCTTTGAGGTAAATCTTAATAAGGTCTTGTATCCATTAAATGTTTAGCAAGCAGATTCTTTCCCAAGTATTAATGGAATGTCTAGGTCTTGAAGTTGGTGTTCTGAGTTGCTTGAAAACCAAGATATGTTGGAGGTGGGGCAGAGGCTAATAAAATAAGCTCTGCATAGAAAACTGGACTTGCTTTTGCTTGTAGAAACTTGTAACTTGGGCGTGTTTTGCGATGGAAACTAAGTTCCAGTTATGTTGGAAATACATTACTGAACTACTTTTAAGTTGCCCTAAAGGTGCTCTTGGATGCAATGAGTTCCGGCCCGACTACTGTAAAGCAGCTTTTTTTTTGACACTGAGATCAGTTTAACCTTTTTGTCAAAGGTTATGGTGGAAAGAGAGGAGCAATAGAAAAGTGCCCTGTGTGTAAAGGAAGAGGAATGCAAGTTATAGTGCAGCAGATTGGACCTGGCATGGTACAACAAATCCAAACCGTGTGTCCAGAATGCAAAGGCCAAGGTGAAAGAATAAATCCAAAGGACAGATGTGACAACTGCAATGGCTGTAAGGTTGTAAGAGAGAAAAAGATCATAGAAGTTCATGTTGATAAAGGTAAGAACTGTGCATTTGTTCTGTGTCCCTAATCATAGTTTATAGTTCTGCAGAGAGTAAATGGGTCTCTTTTTTCCAGGTATGAAAGATGGTCAGAAGATAGTATTTCATGGAGAGGGTGACCAGGAGCCTGATCTGGAGCCTGGTGATGTTATAATTGTGCTTGATCAAAAGGATCACAGTGTCTTTCAGAGGCGAGGGCATGACTTGATCACAAAAATGAGAATTCAACTCTCAGAGGCTTTATGTGGTTTCCGAAAGACTATCGAAACTCTGGATAACAGAGTTCTTGTCATATCATCTAGGCCAGGTAGGTCTTAAGTGTTCTGATGCTATATAAACTGCTTGCCTGTTCTATTGTGCCTGGACTGTGTGGGGTTTTTTTGGGGGTGTTGTTTTGTTTTGTTGGGTTTTTTTAGATGCAGCAGATTCAAGCTACACTTGCACTCATTTAATTTAGTTGGTTCTTTGTCATTCCTTCTGAAAGAGTGCATGCAGAATTACAGCTAAAGGTTTCAAATCCATTTTAATAAACTTCAGCCTCTGGCAGTGGATAGCCAGGAAAATATTCAAGAGGCCAGAAACATAAACTCTACTAGATAATCTGTTAATTCAGCCTGAAGGCTGTGCTAAGAGAAGAGGATTCTCTTACAGTAGAGGAAATAGGCTAAATAGCCTTATTCTTGTAGCTTGGTTTTAATACTTCTCAGTCAGCAGCCTTTTCTACAAGTTGCTTAGTAGTCTTCCTCAGATGCTGTGGGAACACTGCTTGTGTAGAACCCTGCTTTTCACGGTTATGAAACATCTGCCTTCTTGTAGGTGAAGTGATAAAACATGGTGACCTGAAGTGTATCTGCAATGAAGGGATGCCCATCTACAAATCCCCAATGGACAAAGGCAGCTTAATTATACAATTTCTGGTAAGTCTCTGCTTTTCTGTAGCAAAGATAGCCATGTTGGCATCAGGAATAGCTATTAATCTTTTTAAAAAATGCATTAAATTGTAGGTCCAGTTTCCAGAGCACTACTGGCTCCCAAGGGAGAAACTGAATCTGCTGGAGGCTCTGCTTCCTCCACGAGAAGATGTTATGGTTACAGATGAGATGGATCAGGTAGACCTTGAAGATTTTGATCCAAATGAGCAAACCTACCGTAACAGTGGGGGAGAAGCATATGAAGAAGATGAGGAGGGTCCAAGAACAGGAGTACAATGTCAGACATCTTAAAGCAAGGTGAAATGGATGTCATCTAAAATGTAAATTTTCACAATGAAAACTGCATGGCTGTAATAGCCACTGCTTGTGGTTTTTGTGTTCAGCAAATTAAGTTGCTGCGCTGTCAGTATCACCTTTTTGTAACTAATTTATATTGTGTTCTTGTAGTCTTTATATATGAAGCAAATGTCACACAGCTGAGAACCAACAGAGTAGGTATACATTTTCCTTTGCTGTGAAGGTTTTCAATTTATTTCATCTATGCTATTTATATAAGACTTTGGGAATACTGATAGAGGCTAAGTGGAATGTCTTATGTAAATACTTTCATACTGGAAAATTAATTTCATAGAATAAAACACAGCAGAAATAACTTCTAATAAATAGAACTCTTCCCATTTTATCGTGCTTCTCTTGTACTTTCTAAGCCACTCTAGAACCCCCTTTATTTCTCTGAGCTCAGACTCCCCTCACCTAGTCTGGATTGTTCTCCATATTCAACTTTGTGTTGGCTGCAACGCTAGTACCCGTCCCATTTTGTATTTTGAAAGCATTTTGTGCATGTCCCACTCCTTGCATAATAGTACTCTTCCCTGTGTTCTTTTGTGGTATGAGAGTAGCATTCCTTCACCTGCTTAGCTCTATGTAAGTGTAACCTAGGGTTATAAGGTATCCAACTTGCATACAGGCAAATACTTCTGAATAAACTTTTGATCTTTCAGAAGCTCAAGCTCTGTCTTTCAGCCTTCCCTAGAAAGGGTTTTTGCTTCCTCCTAATTGTTGTATACTTGAGCCTTAAACTAACATCAATAAACCAAAAACACATGCGGTGGGTATGCTGTTTTATAACATGACAAGATACCATAGTAGAATGGTCACATTAAAGCTTTTCTCTTTTACCTGTTTTCTAGTAGAGTTTGTATTAAGTCAGGCTAGGGAAACAACTAGCACCCTTTTGTGAAATGAAACCATGATGAAGGAGTTATGTCACCACAGAATTGCTGAAACAGGTGTTCAACTTAAGTGACCCTGTTGCACTCATTGGGACAGCATTATGAGCACAGGCTCTTGTTTCCCCATGCACACAATGCATAGCCTCAGTCACTTTTCCTTTTGCTAAAATAAGCTGCTGTGAGACTTGGTCAACACTTCCCAGCTCCAGTCTATTTATGTATAAAGGCAGGGGAGATTAACTGAGCAGTTACTTCACCCATGACTCTATTTCCAAAAATACATTTTTGCAGGGATTAGATACAAATTACTTGCATATGTAGCTTTTATTTTTAAAAAAGTAAAGCTTTTTCTCATGCTAAACAAAATGAAAGTTATATATAAACATACCTTATTTTGCAGATCAGCATTACTAAAATGCTTTTATCATATTAAAAAATTACATAGAAGGACAAGTAGTAGTCCTAAAAACTGCCAGAAGAGTTAACCAAAGGGTCTGAGTCAAGACATTTAAACTGGACAGTCATAAATATGAATTTCTTGGTCATCTCCAACAGATACGATTTTGGACCCACTTTCATTGTATTGCACTCCCCAAACCTGCAATCAGAACATACACAAGCTTATCAACAGGACACTTAAGAAAAAAAATACCTTTATAGTGGTGATATTTACTGACTGCAAGCAGAAGTGGGAGGATTATTGAAGATCACCTTATTAGAGCTGTCCCAGTTATAGCTCCTGCTTTTAAGAGCAGGTGAGGTTGATAAACTAGAGAAGGATACTGCCATCTAGTAGCCTGACAAATTCTTACATTCCACTTAGACAATGGATTACAGAATCTAAAGATACTTTGAAAAAGGCTGGAAAGTACTTGGCTCAGTTTGCATAAATCAAACCTCACTTTTTCACTCTTACCCATCCTGTCTTCCTTTCAAGGAGTTATCTTGCAGTGCTTTCAGGAAAGCAAGAGAGGAAGTATTTTTCATGCAGACTAAAGAATGATCCAGTTTATCCTTGGACTAATGAAGAGAGCTGTTTACTTATCAGTGCAAAACTTGGAAAAAATACAGTCAGTCCTCTGACTTAAGGACAGTTATACAAACTCTTAAGTGGCCCCCATCTCTAATAATCAGGATGACATCAGGAAAAGTGAAGGCTACCCAGTACATTAGGGTGGGATTGCAAAATGGCTATGTTGACAATAGCATGTTGTGGGAATCTTGTACAGCATGTTGCATTAATACCTAAAACCCAGCCTGGTGTTTTTCTGCTTTCTGCAGCCTTACAGGATTATAGTCAACAGCTACAGCACTGGAAATCCAGTTCCACTTGGTATTTCAATACTAAAACTCCCATAGCTTTAGATAACTGAAAAGGTTACCAACAAAAAAAAAAAACCTGGAAGAGCCCAAATAAAAATCGGAATTTCCTTTAAGTATTCCTCTATGATCCATTACAAAACATCATTGTTCTATTTAACACCTAACATTTGGAAAAGAAGTAACTTGGTAGATACTTAACTTCCTCTTCCCTCAAGGGTAGCTATCATGCAGCAAAAAAAACATAATAGGGTTTGAAGGCTGCTTTCAAGCATCTTTAGATAATTCCATCTTTTTAGATCCCCCCCCCCCCTTACACAGGCACACACTGTGTGACAGAAATAAGTAAGACCACAGACAAATAAGTCTGGTAAGAATCCTTTTGGCCATTCAGGATTGCCCTTATTTGGCCCTGAAAAATGTAATTACTTGGAAGAGATCAATCTACATGCTTGGATTATTCGTTTAATATTAAGTGCCAAATAATCATGAACAATTTTTAGGATTTCATTACAGCAAGCTAAAGTCCAACCCTGAAGCTACAGCACCAAGCTGAAGCACAAATGTGCATAACTACACAACTGAAGTTCTCCTGTGAAGACAGGGACCTAGATAAAGCAATAATAGACATACCTGATCTTGGTGGTCAAAGAAAGTGTGAACACAGGTTCTTGTTCCAGCATCCCAAACTTTCACACTTTTATCAGATGAACTGAAAGAAAAACAGTATTGATCAATGTTTAAGTTAATAGATAAACTATAGTTTAGTGCACAGCTTAAAAGATCTCATATGGTAGACTTAAGAAACCCTCTTTCACCCATCAAATACAGGGATGAAGCAGAAAAGGAGTGCATCTTCCACCAGGTTTCAGTTACCTTTAAAATACATTTACTATTTCAGTATCTGCAACATGAAAATTAAGACTCCCATTTTAGCCATAAAACTCTCTGAAGCAAGTTCTTTAGATAAAGAAACTCCTGTTACATATACTGGGTCCCCAACTGCCTGAGTTGTTTTAAGAGTTAACAATAAAGTTCAACTAGATTAACATACTACTACATTAGGTTGTACTTTTTAATTCAGCAGCAAATTTTCAGCTATTTGGAATCAAACTGCCCTTCTCTTAGGTTCCGATGTTCTTCACTTGTAGGGAAGTGCATTGCAGCGGGATAACCTGCATTATAAAATACTATTCACTACAACTGGTATCACATCACAGATAGGCTCTTGAGTCTTTTAAGTGTGATGTATGTTATTCCATTATAGATTCCATTGCGATTTGTGTGCATTTACTTTTTATGATCCATCTCCACCTAGAATTTTTTTTTTCCCTACTAAGCATAAACACGTTAAAAATCCTTAATACCTGGAAACAAAATGGGTATCATCGGGACAAAAAGCTACATTTAATACCCAGGATCCATGACCACTTAATGTGCCAGCCAAGTTTGCGTGTTGCCTGTGGGAAGAACAAATTTTAGAAAACCCATAATTTTAACATTTGATTTGTGAATTACAGGGAAAAAAGCAACAGGAGTACACTCAAGCTAGTACAGTCAGAAATGATTCAATGAGAAGTCATGGAAGGTGACTTCGGGACAAACGATTCTGTTTTTCCATTTCAAATGGTTAACATAAGTCATCACTAAGAAGATAAATTGGTGGACAAAACAGTTCCACCATGAAGAAGGCAAAATAATGCAGGTTTAAGGGAGTGAAGATCACTGAAGCGGTGCCTCTTCCTCCCCAGGGTCTTCCAAGTTTTTGCACAATCCAACTGAAATAGGTCATAAATATAATTTATTGGGTACAGAACAGATGTTTAAGATGCGTAAACACAAAGGACAGATATACAAACCAATTAGCCTCTTGCCTACAGGGCAAATATGAGGAAAGTTGTTTTCAAGTTAAGGCTGTTCTTAACCTATGCACTTTTTAAAAACTATCAAAGGGTGTATTAAAAAACTATCTAAGGGTGTACTAATTTATTATTTAGGATTCTTTATTAAACAGAGAAGTCACCAAAACCTGAAGGGAATTACAGAGAGCAGAGGGTTTACTATATTTTTTACAGCGTCAGCTTCTCTGAATATTTTCCTGTTAGCATGTCTTACAAAATAACAACTTACACATCGTAGATTTTGATATAGCCATCATCTGAAGCAGTTACGAGTAACTGAGAATCTGGAGAAAATGTCAGTGAACGAATAGGCATTGCGTGACCTGAAATTCAAAGTTATATATGGCTTAGAATGTAGCTGTTCCTCTTACTAGTGACAGTGCTTAAGAAGCTACAGCAGAACAACATTGCCTGTTAAAAGAAATCAACCTCTGTAAAGTCTTTCTCTCTATGCCTCTACAGGTTTCTTTGCACAACATAAAATGGAAACCGACAATAATTCTGAACTTTGAATATTAAGGCATGTCCACTGCAACACAAAAGTATCTTATTTTTTCATCTGTGGATCTTTATTAGAAATTATGTCCTATTTTCTAATATGATTTTATATTAAGTGCTTGGGTTTTTTTAATTAACTATAGAGCTGCACAGAAACTGCAGGAACATTAAGAGCCCATTTGTCTGTTAGAAAAATGCATGTCTTCTACAACATAAAATGTTTGGTTCTTTTTTAAAACAGGAATAAATTGCTATAAAACTGATACCATACGCATGGCAGCACACATTTGGCTTAGCTTCATTTCCTTGTAATGCACTGCAATACAAGAAGAACTCGCAGTTTAAGAATTTAGTTAAGCATTACTGATTATCTTTTGAGATGGGCATTTATGATGCAAGCCTGAGTTTAACAGTCTGTCTCTAGTATTTTAGGCGGTTTAAGTTACAGCACCCTAAACAACTACATACTGTCTAATGGACAGAAATATCAACTCATTTTTGCTATGGCTGCTGTATCTTATTCTGACTTGTGTTATATATCCTTTAATCTTGTTGAGGAATGAAGCCAGAACTTGGGTATTGCAAACACACAAACCATTACCTTCTAGCGTATGCAGAAGTTTTCCAGTTGCAATATCAAAAATATTGATAATGCCATCTATTGCTCCACTGGCTAAGTATTTTCCATCTGGACTCTGTAGTAACATACAAAAAATATGCATTTAACAACTGTATGCATTTATGCTATGTACCTCCCTGACACTCTTGGCAACTTGTCACAAATACAACCTATGCAAGATACCTGGGCTCCAAAAATCCTGAAGACTTCAGCTGAGTTATTCACAATATGGGTACAAGCAAGATCAAAGTATATTTTCCATACATGCAGGGAGGGAATGTCACACAGTTTATTATACTTTGAACTATCAAAGTATGACTGTCATTTAATATTACATAGAAATAAAAGTGAGAGATGAAAACAAAAATATCTGATTTACAACATACTACAGCAATAGCAATTTCACATAAGAAATTATCAATTGTGCTTCTTACATATGCAATGCTAAGGATGAACTTTCCTCTGGTGTCCAGAGAATATTCTTTTTTTCCAGTTTCAACTCCAAAAATATTTACTTTTCCCACATGACTTCCTGTTGCAAGGTACTGGGAATCAGGTGAAAAAGCTAGGGACCAAGCATCAACTGTATTAAAAAGAAAAAAATCAGTTAGCTGAATACTGTTTCCAGTTCTTATTCAACAATGTCAGTTCTGTATGCATCTGTTCAGATGTTTAACCCCCTAACTACTCTTTAATAATCTCAACTCTACTACATACTCTTAAGAAAAGCGTACAAGCTCATGAAAGTTAACTTCCTTCTAGGTAATTAATGGATTTAGTGAAAGATTACATTTTCTAATAAGACACTGAGCTTATTAGACCCTCCTGTAACAATAAATTTAGAATTTAAGACTGCATGAGTTAAGTCTAAATTCTTACTTTTCTCCTGGTACCATAAGATATTAAACCAGTAAAAAATAGCAACACTAGTATCTAGCAAAGCACAGAAGATGCAAGGGAAACGCAGATATACAAATGTAACGGATCAACATTTCCTGCAACAGAATTTTAAAAAACCTACCTTTTTATAGCAGCACAATGTATTTATCTGGCACAATGTAATTCAGGTTTTTTTTCCATAAGCTTAATATTAATTACCCAAAACACTGCAAGATTGTTCTTAAGTTAGGGATTGCCAGTGGACCAATTAAATATTCAGAAGAAATTCTTAGGCCCTGAATTCCAGCTTGGAGGATGTAACATTGATCCAGACTTCAGCTTTACTCTGTTTTGACTTGCTCACTCAGGATTGGATGTACTGCATCAGTAAGCATCACATATACAGCTCAAATTCAGTGCAGTGCAGTACTTAGGAAGAAAGTTCAGACTTTGCTTGTAAACCAACATGAATAAGCATTTGAATTATTTTTTAAAATATTCTTTTATCAATATATCTGCAAGAGCAAGCTGGTTTCCATTCTGCTTTATGTACCTGGCAAAAAGCATATCTCGATGTATCTAGAAAGTGCAAGTAATGTGAAAAAATAAATGTAAAATTGATGCTACTTTGAGTTCATAAAATCACTAAGATTTTTGCAAACAAAGATAGATTTAAGGGAAAAAAACCCAAACCCTAGTCATCTCATGTACCCTAATTGTACACTGTATAGTATTTACTATCTAAAGTACACTTTTTAGGCAGAGACAGCTTAACGCTGTTACCTTACCAGGGCCAGCATCTATTGACTTGATTTGTTTGCCAGTTTCTAAATCCCAAAGGCGAATATGGGCATCTAGGGAGCTGGATGCTGCAATGGAGCCTGTGTGGCTGATATCCACAGATACCACGCCCAGCTGGTGACCCTCCAGAGTCCACTGTAGATCCAATTTTTCATCATTCCTTTGTTCAAGGGAAAGAAAAGCCTTGTTATGAATAGCTGGGAGTACTTAACTGACCTCCAGGCTCAGGCAAAACAAACAGACAACCCACATTTCTCCATTTTGTTCAACAAAAGGGAATCCAACTTCACCCATGAAACGTGAAGATACCTACGCACAAATTGCTCCGTACTTAAGGGAAAGAACTGACAAATCAGTCATTTACCATATTTGTGCAAAGCATGTACTTCGAGTCTGTAAGCAGTCCCACTGAACAGTCCCACAGGACCCATCAATACACGGGTACTTACACAGCAGACTCTTAAGCTGTCAGCACAGTGTGAAATGCAATGACCAACACTTTTGTAATCACCACAACTGAGCTACTCGTGCTATTACAGTGAAGTGCATACTTAATCCTGCTTCGGCTAAGAGACAGAACAATTTCTTTGGAAAAGCAGACTTTGGTATCGCTTGTATGAGGATTATGAGGAATGTATTCTTTTTTAAATAAAAAAGGAAGATGTAATTTCTTCTTTTACTCTATTCCCATTATTTCTTCCACAGTACACATGCTCCCAATGCATTGTCTCTTCAAAAGTTGCATTTCTAATTCTTTGGTTTAGAAATACATTCAAGTTGTACTAGTCTCTGGCTGACAACACATAAAATTTCACATGCATTTCAAAAGGGTTTCCATTCTTCAAAAATTAAAGCACCTTAGAATGCTACCACCCCAAGAGAAAGCATGCACTGATGAGACAAGCTTGGTCAAGAGAACAGTTCTGTGAGCCAGGCTACCCCTTCCCTGATGTAGCTTCTAACATACTTGCAGATTATGGAAATTCAGGACTTAAAACTGATTAATACAGAGCACTTCACTTACCACTTCCAGACCTTAACTAGATCATCCAAAGAACCAGAGATCACTGTTTCAGAACCATCTTTTTTATTTTTTCCCCAGGCAACTGACCAAATGGCATCATCATGAGCTAAAAGAGAATATAAGCATAGAACTTAAAAATTAAATGGTTTATTTTGATGGAAGACAACTACTTTTGGTAATGCTAAACTTGCCACTGTAATGTTGGCAATTGCTCTTCAAGTCTATCAGTGCTCTGAGAGCCTTGTCCCTGTTTTGTTTTAAAACACATGATTTATTTTGTTCACCAAGGTCACTGTTGAAAAAAGAGCATAGCTATTTTTGAGCTAATCAGATTTATACTTAATATAAACATAACTCGGGTCATCTCACAAATCTAGCTGCCATTATCGATTTTACACCACCCGAGAAGACCAGTGTTATTTAGTACATGTTAGCGTTTTCTCACCTTGTTCTTGCTTGAAGAGAATACCGTACTAGAAAGAAAAAAATAATTAATATTACTTATGAGCAGCCTAAAAAAAAAAATCAGGCTACCGATTAGTTTAATTCCCACTGTGCTCTTACTTACCTGTGTGGTCATGTCTGTACGGGAACACTCTTAACAGGAACGCTCTGGAAGGAGAAAACCCATTAGGCTCAGCAGCACGGCTCAGAGCGCCGCTGCCCGGCAGGCAGAGCAGCAAGGCCTGAGGGAAACTCGCCTCGGC